GGTTTCCCACATGGGTGCAGGAGCCCAAGCACCTGAGCCATCTTCCACTGTACTTGCAGACACACTAGTAGAGAGCTGAATTGGAAGTGGAGCAGCCAGAACTCAAATGGGCGCCCATATGGGATGTTGGCACTGCAGGCGGTGGCTTAAACCGGTACACCATAACACCAACATATGGAAAATCTCTTTTTCTGTCTCTCCCTCTCTCTGTCACTCTGCCTTTCAAATAAATAAATAATTAACTTTTAAAATAAAAAATAAATTGATTAAATATGGAGCAAAGATGTCTTTTTTACTTGTTTATTTCCTATAAAATGTCTTTTCTGACTGTCACTGTTCATTTCATATTTCTTGTGAGATTTCTTACAAAGTACTATTAAGCCCTCTCCCTTCCCTATATCACATCTCTTCTTAAGATTGACTTATTTGGAATTCTGATAAGATGTGGTGAATCAAGGGGCCAGCACTATGGCGCAATAGGTTAATCCAATGACTGCAGTGCTGGCATTCCATATGGGCTCCAGTTCCAGTGCTGGCTGCTCCTCTCCAGATCCAGATCTCTGCTATGGCCTGGGAAAGCACTGGAAGATGGTGTAAGTGCTTGGGCCCCTGCACCTGCATGGGAGATCTGGAAGAAGCTCCTGGCTCCTGGCTCTTGGCTTTGGATCGGCTCAGCTCTGGCTGTTGTGGCCATTTGGAGAGTGAACCAGTGAATAAAAGACTTTCCTCTCTGTTTCTCCCTCTCTCTGTCTGTAACTCTACATCTCAAATAAATAAGTAAAATCTTTAAAAAAATTTTTAAATATGGTAAATTGAATATATCTTTAATTGCATTTCCCAAAAATGCTTAAAAGCTAGCAAAAACAGAAGAATCAATAAAGCCCCAAGTGCAAAAAAAGGAGAGACTCTAATAGTGGAAAAGCAACAAACCCTTGAAATACAGAAAGTAAGTATAAAGTATATTAGTTGTCTATTGCAATGTAACTGATCACCCCAAAACAGCATCCTAAAGCAATAAATATTAGTTTTCTATCCAGTGTTGAGAGTCAAGAACCTAAGAATAGCTTAGCAGGACAGTTCTTGATTAGAGATTCCAAGGAGGTGGCAGTCAGTTGCCAGGATTGCTGTTATTTGAAGAACTGGAGAATTCAATTCCAAGCTCACTCTTGTGGCTGTCAACAGGTAGCTTCAGTTCCTCACCATAAAGCTACTCATGAAAACTAGGGACAATGTGAAAAGCATGACATTGATAGAGAAGCTATTGATACAGCTTTTTAAACATTACAATAATAAGGCAGAAATCACCTCAATTGAGAAATCAACATCAACAAATGCTGACCAACTGGACGTTGTGTGCCTCGTGATATGATGCACTAAGAAATAGATTCTCTGGGGCTGGCACCATGGCATAGTGGGTAAAGCCACTGCCTGCAGTGCCAACATCCCACATGGATGCTGGTTCAAGTCCTGCTGCTCCACTTCTGAACCACTACCCTGCTAGTGTGCCTGGGAAAGCAACAGAAGACAGCCCAAGTGCACCCACATGGGAAACCCCGAGGAAGCTCCTGGCTCATGGCTTCGGCCTGGTCATCTGCGGAGTGAACCATCATGTGCTGCTTAACGGGCACAAAACCAGGGAGCTGGGTTGGAAGCAGAGTCATCTGAACTTAAAACAGGTACTCTCACGTGGGATGCCAGAGTCCCGAACAACGGCTGAGCCCCTCTGCATCACAACACCCTCCCCATGAATGGCATGTCCTAATCACATCAATAGAAAGAGCTAGGGAATTCTTCCAATGAGGCAGGATTGCTCAATGACCTTGTTGGGTTGTACCTGATTGGAGTTCTAGTCTAGGCCTGACCCTGACAGTCATTAACCAGGCAACCTGAGGTGACTTATTTCTGACATCAGTTTTCTTATCTGTCAAGGAAGGAAATAATAACTGCTTATTAAGATTGTTGTGAGAACTGAGTGAGATAATATATAAGAGGCAGTACACATTTCCTGGCTCCTAGGAAGTACTCACAGAACTATCTTCTGAGTCACTCTATATTTCTACAGTAAGGTTATGCATAAAATAAAGATGATAATATATTAAGAGTGCTGTGCGAAAAGTCATGACCCATTGTTTTCTGAGTGTGTGGACACTTTTGAAAATAACAATTATAGAAAATCAAAGATAATTTTTCTAGCCTATTATATTTCTGTAAGTTCCATATTTTCCTCCCCGTTTGGGTTTTTGAATCCCCAGCTATCTGACCCTCGTTGTAGTGCCACTTAAGACATGATATGACAGGACTAGGAATTCTCCAGGGGAGTCCGGCCTCCAAGAGTACCATGGTAGCTACAAAATCCACTTCCAATTAATGATATACCATTCCAGTCCCTACCATTTACTTATTGATTTGCAAATGTACTTTTTAAAGATTTTTATTTTCTTTTTTACTTGAAAGGCAGAGTTACAGAGAGAAGAAGAGAGACAGAGAAATCTTCCATCTGCTGGTTCACTTCCCAAATGGACACAACAGCTAGAGCTGGACCAGGCTGGAATCAGGAACCAGAGGCTTCATCCTGATCTCCCACATGGGTGGCAGGGGCCCAAGCACTTGAGCTAACTTCCACTGCTTTCCCAGGCACATCAGCAGGGAGTTGGATGGGAAGTGGAGCAGCTGGGACTCAAATTGATACTTATATAGGATGCCAGCATCATAGGAGGCAGTTTAACCCACTACTGCACAATGCCAGCTCCAAAAGCATCTTTATTTTAATATAAATATATGAAAATTAAAATCAGTCCAGAATCTTAGGAATCCTGATCATGATTCATCATCCTGAAAAGTGCTCTGACATACTGATGATGATGGCAATGATGGTGAAAAAGATTAAGCTGAAATTCTTTTACATATCTGATCTGCTGCAAAAAGGATTAGAAATTAATTAGAATTAATTTGAGATTTAATTAATGCCAATTCAATAGATTTCCTTGTCTTTGAACTTATTTTATGAGCAAATGTACTATTTGATCAATAGGTATTTATTGAACATCTACAGTTTATCAGATCCTATGCCAGGCTCACACAAGAAGCTACAAAAAGACCCCAACAATCTTAACTCCTAATAAAATACTCAACATAGTAATATCCAAAAGAGTAAAATAGACAAAAGTTGGTTTTGGAGTATGGAAACAAGAAGTATCCAGAATTGAAATTTACAAAATCAAAGGGAAGAGAGCTGTGAGATTTAAAATGACCTCTAAGTGGGATTTTGGAAGAAGTCACACAGGGAGAGAAGAGGACAGAGGAGAATGAAATTGGGCAGCTCTTCTGGGAGGGAAAGGATACCTTACAACCAAGCTCTCACCTAAAACGAGTAGCAGGATGACAAGGAAGGTGTTTTCCAATCACACACACACACACACACACACAAAATCACCATAAAAACACTGCTGAGCCAGTAACAACAGAATACAACCCAAAGGAAAAACGAGATGCAGAGAGGGACCCCTATCAGCACACCAACGCTACAAAGGACTGCTCTGTGCTTTCAGGGAGCACCTAATTTGGACAACGCGTGCAAGTGTAAGGGTAGTAGTTTGGGGGGATGGGGGTGGGCAGGAGCTTCCAAAATGAGAATGGTAGACTGAACTGCGGGCTCCCACTCTGGTGTTCGCAATGCTAATGTTTGTGCTGCCTGGCGTGAAAGGAGTGTGCACGTGCCTCCTCCCAGGAGATCCAGGTAGCAGTGGGGCTCTGTGGCTGTGTGCAGTCCCTCTAGTGCTCCGGAAGACAGCACGCTTTCCTGATCGGTCCTGCAGGCACTTCACTGCTCATGCGGGCACCCCAGGTTCAGGAGCACAAGTGGTGTCCAGGTACACTGAGTCAAGCAGCTTTTCATGTAGTAAAGCGAATCGACAAAGCGAACATTACCCAAAGCCTTAATTCATCAGTGGGGACAAGCCAGGGATAATGGAGGAGCTCCCAGAATTCTAGGGAGAGCCTGCTGAGCTGGCAGAAGAGAAAGAGGAAAAGGAAGAAATGGAGCAGGCAGGAGATGAAGGGAAGGTAGCAAAATGGGATGTGGAGAGAGACTTCAGTGTCTCTCACTGGGGAAGGAAGCCATGCTGGTCGCTGTTCCTAAACTCCCAGTCTGTGGCAAGGCATTTGTGCAAATGCAGGGTCCAGCAGAGACTTGGGGTTGCCAGGCTGCTCCAGCCATTGTGGCCTCATCCTCTCTCCACCTCCGTGGTGGCACCCCACCCAGATTCCTTCCTTGTCAAACTTGTTTCCAGTCACCCAAGCCCTCTAGTTTGTGACCTCTTGGTCAAACTGTCTGTTACCCAGGACACAAATAGATTGAGGGTGTCAGATAACATGGTAATTTGGTGAGGGGGAGAAGACAGTTTGAGTAAACGCTGCAATAGGCTTTATAATACTTCTTCCCTCCACCACCCACACCTTTAGAGTAAATGCCCTTCCCCCACCCTATGTTCCTCTGCGTCTCTAAGTCGCTGAAGGGCAGCTGAGTGTGTGATTCATGCCTCTTTTTATTTATTGGCTTTGATGTGTTCATTATCTCTCAGGAGCCAGCTGGTGGAACCTTTGAGTCAATTCTATTTTTCTTGGGGGAGTGGGGTAACGCAGAATTGGGCTGTCCTGCCCCACAGGAATGACACAGAACACTGTGTACACTGCAGTTAGAGCAGCGAGGCTGCAAGGAGGGAGGAGCACCATGGGAACTCAAAGCCCATCTCCAGGAGCTAACTGGTTGGTGATGTCCCAGGAACGTACGCACATGGTACTCCCTGCATGCTCCACGCCTGCCGAATCTCTCAAAGTCCTCCTTCACTGCGAGTCTCACCGCCACCCTCCACCCCCTGCCAGAAACTCACGCTGCAGGCTGTGAACCCACTGCAGGAAAAGCTAGATGGGGATGGTGAGAGTGCTGGGATAAGGCAGCGTCCACATCACAGGTGCACGGCACCTCAGCCACTTTCTCATACCTCTGAGTGCAAGGATTCGAGTGAATCCCTGGACAGAAATTCTGCTGCTCCAATGCACAGGTCTGAGGAAGATTCTGGGTTGCCTGGAAGGGTATCATCTATGTAAAAAAAAAAAAAAGTTTTTTTTCACTTAAATTTTTGTCAATGAAGTTTTTATGGGCTAGTATTGCATTTTAATTAAAAAAACCCTATTTTGCCTAAGAAACAAACCAATCTTAAGAAATACACGCAATTGTTTTGCACCTTTGGCGAGTCACTCCCGAAGCTGCAGCTAGCATCGCTTCTTTCTCTCACTTTCTCTCTCGAGCCGGGGGAGAAGGAGAAAGACTCCCTCTCGGGAGCCCCGTCCTACTCAGGAATTTGCTGAGCGAGTGAGTGAGTCACTGAGGTTTCCAGGTGAGGGCACAAGCACTCAGGAGGTGCCCCCCACTTCAGTCCTTCCCTCGGCTCTGTTATCTTTTCACCAGTCCTGTACGTTTGACCGGGCAGGTGGGCCTCTAGCACAGAAAGAAGTCTCTGCAGAACTATCAGCCGTGTTTAAAGAAACAGGTCAGCGGCAGAAACAGGTAGGGCCCGAGCAAGAGTGGGGAGCCGGGTAGGGGGTGGGGAGTCCACCCAAGCCAGGGGGTTTCCACGCGACCACTGGGCCAGGAGCCTCGTGCGCCCAGGCGCGCTGCCACCCGCTGCCCACCCAGCCCGGCCTCCGGATCCCACCCGAGCGCCAGGGCCGTGGGCGCTGCGGCTCTTCTCGACCCTGTGAGCAGCCGCCCCCCAGCGTTTAGGGATGTAGCACGCGAAAAGCCACTCCAAGCGCGAGAGGCAAGGACACTCGCTCGTATGAGAAGCCCATAACTTGAAGTTCCGCAAGAAGGGTTGGCTCGGTAACCCGCATCTCTCCAACCCCCAGGTCCTCTGTCGCCTAGGAAGTGGCCGCCAGAAAAGTGGGCACGCGGGGCCGGGAACGGGGCTGGCCTAAAGGCAGAGCTCGTCAGAGGGCGTCTCTCCCAGGATCGGATAGATGATTCATTTTTATATGTAACGTTTTAGCCCACTCTATAGCTCTGGCCGGTTAATGTTCAACCCCCGGCCGTGGAGAGGCAGTTCCAAGGAGGCAGGCAGGATGACATTCAAGGTATATGGCCGCGTGGGAGTGGAGGCGCAGAGGCCCGAGACGGGGTGAGAAGGGATGGCGTCGGTGGGAGGCTCCTCGGGGTCGGACTCCTGTGGCGGACTCGGAGAGGGTTACGTTCGCGTCTCTGGAGGTTCGGCTACCACCCCGGGCACTCGTCAGGCCGCCGCAGCCCTGGAGCGGCGCTGGCAGGGGCGTCCGGCCCGCGGTCGGGAGGGGGCGCTTGTCCCCAGATGGCTTTCGAGGGCCATCGCGCTCAGCCTCAGCGAAGGGGCTTCAGTACACAGCCTGGGGCTTTAGGCTGAGGAAGCCCGCGGGAAGTGGGGGCGCCTCGGCAGTTGCAGAGCGGCTTCTGGTTTTCTCTCCCGGCAGGAGTGCGAACACTCAGTGCCAGGATCCTAGAGGGGCACCCTAGAGGCGCGCGGGTGGCCCTCCTGATTCTCGCTTCTCTGGGTTCCTCTGTAAACAGCGTCAGGGTGAACGGAGGCAGCCCATCTCAGCACTGCCCGCCCCTGTCCCCCGCCCATTGCCGGACTCACACAGGAACGCTATAGAAAAAGCAGCCGCTCTGGTCAGTGGGAGGGGGTAGGACGCAACTGCACCCCGAGCCACTGATCAGGCGGCCAGGAAGGCCCTAGGAGAAGCCGCCCTTGGGAACACGTTCAGGTGGAGCGGCTGCACCTTTCGGTCATTCTAAAGGGCTGGGATTCGTGGAGTCCTGGAGCTGTCCACAAGTCCATTCCCCTGCGCTGCGCAATGGATGAGCCGGCCGGCTATGGACGGGAAGGGGCTTCGGGGCCGGGGAACCAGGAAGCTAGAGCCGTGCGCTGCCGCCTAGCATTCGCGGGAGAGGGTTTTTTGTTTGTTTGTTTGTTTTTTTTTTCTGTTGTTTTATTTTGTTTTGCTGGACAGAGAAACAGATAAACCAGACCCCGCCTAGTCGCCTCTGCAGATAAGAACGGCCTCCGCGATTTCACGGATCTCAAGCAGGGCCCGAGGCGCTGAGGTCAGCAGAGTCCGGTGAACGAACACCGCTTGAGGCCCAGCGCCCGCAGAAGGAGGGTTTTATTTAACTTTGTTTTGTTTGGTATTATTTTGTTTTCTGACAAAGTGATCTGTAGTCGCAACCTGGGGTTCTGGCAGGCAAAATCCTTTCCATAGCGTCGGGCGATGGCCTGCAGGGACACCACGGTGTCTGCCGCTCTGTCCCTCCGCCTGTCCCCGGAGCGCACGCACACCCGGGGCGGGGGCTGTCACCGAGACCAGCGGTCAACTAAACGCAGTTGGCCAGGTGCAGCCCAGTAGCTCCCTCTCTAGGTGGGACACAAAATGATGCCATCGAGGTTCTATTGGATGCAGCAACCCCAACGTGATCCCTGCCTGGAGAAGCAGAGTTTGCGCGGGCTGTTGACACAGAGCAGGGGAGCGCGCCCGAGACCTGCGTGGGCTACTAGTGTGAGTTCCAAGTCCCCTTCCTGATGCTGCCCCGCCGCTTTCTTGGGCACAGCAGGGACGGTTGTAGGTCTCGTCTAACCAGAGCGACGAGGATCCATCCATTCCTGCCTGTCGTTGGCTCGGGCGGAGGGGCTGGGCTTCTTGTGCACAGAGGAAGCTCCCGGCTCTAAAGAAACCACCTCAGGCCTTGGCCTTGGAACATCAGGTCCTAGCCATCAGTGAGCCATTTTCAAAGCTGCTAGAATGAAGAAAACCAAAACAGCAAAAATCCTTGGCTGTGGACAAAGAAAACGAGAAAGGAAGAGGTTGAAGGAGAAGCAGAGAGCTGGATGGTGAGGAAGACCTTAAGCATTTTTTTGCCCATAGGAGGAGAACTAGGTGTAAAAAGATCCATCAACATCACAGGGCACTGATTGCTCACCCTGTTCGGGGAGCCCCAAGCAGGCTGAACCTCCCTTTTTAGCTCCTATGAAGGCAGAAAATAACAAAAAATACAATCTCTTTCACCCCCCTCCAACCCCAAAGGAAACACTTTACTGTATAGCCATGAAATGCTCTAAAGATGTTTTCAAAATTACAGGGAGTGTAGGTGGTTCTTTGAACCATTCTTCTGCTGTGTAACTTAAGCTTCAAGTTATCTCCTGCTTTCCACAACTGCCACTCCACTGTTAACAGCAGTTCCAAAAGGAGTAGCAAAGATTTTTTAAAAGGTAATTAAGTAGAATTAAATACTCGTATATCTTCCATGAAATACCGTATTTCTTGCAAGACTTCCCTACACTTGGAACAAAATCTAAAGTCAACATGTACATAAAATGCATAAACTACTCTACTTACATAAATCAAGTTTTGTACCCCCAAACACAACAAATGCTGGTTTCTGTCTTTCCAGATAGGACAACCACCAGGAGAAGCCCTCCCCTGGGAGAAAGGCAAAGGAAGGCAGAGAAGGGCGCATGGGGGATCAACTTTTTAGATGGAGTAAAATGTCCCAATTTCATCTGCTGAAACCTGAAAGGGCATATGTTTACAATCCTGTTCCTACCTAACCCATTTGTAAAAGTCGCATCAGAAATCACCAATTTCTCCAGTTCAGTTAAAACGCAATCCTTTGGGAAGTTGGGGGAGGGGGAGGGATATTTTCCAAAATTCCTTCTGGGAAATCTGCTACCAGAAATCTGCCGTTTATTTCGAGACCTGCTACAGAAATCTGTCCTCGCTCGGTCAGCCACCTTCCCTGCTTCCGTGTGCTTAGATTAAGTGTTCGCCGAGGGGTTTATAAATCAAAATCAGTAGGGAGTCTATATTCATGAAAGCCTCTGATCTGATTACACCTCCTGCCCTCCATTCCTCCCCTACCCGCTTCTTGGACAAAGTTAAAAACGCCAGCCGGGGCCTCCCAGCGTAGCCCGCGTCGGCTGCGGGCGGCTGCAGGCCCGGCGGCCCGGAGACGGCGGCCCGGGCGCTCGTGGATTAGAATGTGGATTGCAGGACAGAGCTTTGTTTTGGTCACAGTCGCGACGCGGCTGGGGGGCAGGGTCGTCTTCCTGAGAGATCGCGCTAGGTTTTTATGGACTCACCTTAAAAGGGCTCGCCGCTCTTCCCTGGGTTAATTTATAGGGCTTTCTAGGAATATTAGGATTTTTTTTTTCAAAGACGCTGTTTCTTATTTTCCTATTCATTTGTTTGGATTACACGCCTAAAAGAATCTCTGGGTTTCAGCACCTCCTAGGAAGAGGGTGGGGTGAGAGCCAGAGCAGGCCAGGGAGGGGAAGTGGGTTTGCCCCCTCATCAAACGGCTTTCACGGCTCAGGCTTCCCAATACGTTGTTTTAAATTCATTTTTTTTTTTAAATCAAGTTGTACACAGCAAGACTCCGATTTAGGAAGCGGGAGGAAATCGATGCCCACGCGGGCTGTAGACACCTTGCTCCAGATCTCCGCCAATCTGAAGGCAGCACGAAGGGAATGACAAGTGGGAGGCCTTGGGAAAGTTTTAAAGCTTTTTAAAAAGTGAAATGAAAACCCAGGGATGGGCCAGAGGTACGGAGGGGAGAGAAAAGATGCGCGTAACAGGTGGTGAGGCGACGGGTCGGCAGGGGGAAGGGAGAGGCCTCAGACCGCGGGTTGGGTGCAGGGCCAACCTCTGCGCGCCCAGGGAATGGCCGGCGCGGGTGCTGAGGCCAGCCAGGCCTGCACTGCTCCGAGCCTGACCTCGGACTCGCCATTTTGGAACCCAAGCGGGGGAGGTTGATGTTCATGCTATAGATTACGTTAAAGGTTCCTTTAAGCACTTTAATACACAACTAGTTCAGAAATCATTAAGAGACCTAGAGAAGAAGAAAAAAATACCCTCACACTCACCGGTAATAAGTGTTGACATGCAGCAAAAATCGATTGAGTGGAACCGAGCTGGTGCCTGGAGCCATAGCTGGAGGGGGGTAAGGGGGGGCACAGGCTTCCCGGGCGCGGGAGGGGCGAGGGGGCCGACGGCACCGACGGGAAAACCAGGCTCCTCTCGCTCCAAGGGAACGGAACCGGAGGTGCGCAGAGTGGCCGGCGGCCGGGCGTGCGTGCGTGCGCGGAGGGCAGTGGAGGAACAGCGGGAGAGGTTACGCTTCGTCCCTCGGAAGTCCAGCGAAAGGAGCCGAGGTGCTGGAGAAAAGTCTCTCTCTCCGGTCCCAAGTCCCCGCCCCCAGCCTGCGCCACTCCAGTCGGGGAAGTGACAACCCTTCCCAAACCTGGACTTCCATTTTTTTCCCCCCTGCAGATTGATGGGTTTCCTCGCGTCGAGTTCTGTCTGCGCAAAGCAACTAGGCCGAAATCCACCTCCTGTACCCAGAGCTCGAAAGTCACTCTCGGCGCGACCTGCAGGAGACGCAAATCCTGCCGGCAAGTTTCGGCGGTGCTTCTAGCCCCCATCCCCAAATCCCCTCTCCCAGTCCCTGGCCTTCCCTCCCCCTCCCCCTCCCCCTCCCCGCCCCCCGACCGGGCGGAGGCGCGGGGAGGCCGGGCCCCCCGGGCCCCTCGGCTCCAGAAGCCAAAGTCCGCCCGTGGGGACCGTTTTCCTCTCCACTGCTCTCAAGTGAACAACAAGGACGGAGGTGACCCTCGTCCAAAGGGCTTTCATCTGACCCCCACTGCCGCGTGATCCCGCCAAGTTGGTAGCAGAGCTTTGAAAAGAGAGAAAGAAAGTTAATGTGCGCTGAGCACTGATCTTAAATCGGGGACATTATCTTCCATCTCCTTAAGTGGCAGCAGCAGTTCCTCGCCGAACAAAGACTCAGTGTCTGAGTTCTCCCAAAGCTTCTAGGTAGCGTTTCGGTGAGATAAGAGCAACCTCAGCGCGAAAACACAGGTTTTCTCAGCTCCAGAAAACTGGTGGCGGCTGCCCTCCGCTCTCCAGTCCTCCGGGTGGTGTTTGTCCTGGCCCACTGGGGGGCTGGGGGCGGGGATGACAAGGATAACAAAGGACCTCAGCCCCCACCCCCACCCAATCCTCCCTGGGCTGCGGTGCTGAGTATTTGCTACAATTTGTTCCGAAATCAAATTTCACTTAAAAAAAAAAAAAAAGCTGAAAATCACCTATAGAGGAGTGAGCTGGAACTTGAAGTTTTTAAAAACTCTCACGCGGACCTCCTTCCCGGTTTAGATGTCAGACGACGGGAGGGAGGGCCGGGGCTGTAATTCATCTTGATTTGCTTCATTGTCCTGTAGTTTGCAAACTATAATCCTGTATAATTTCACGAACAAGCAGGTTTAGAATTAATGGGTCAATATTATTTAAAACGAAACACAGGGAGCATGACCTTTGCCTCAACTACATATTGCTGGACAAGACTCAGGAAGCTCCACTCTAACCTCTCAACCCCTGGGCTCTTTGAGAAACTGAAGGGCTGTGGTTATTAGAAATGGTCTTTGTTTCTTTTAATGTCTCCAAAGGATTTGGAAATAGCAATGCAATAGAACATGAAGGATCTCTCTACTTAAGTCCAAAAGATAAACGCGGAGGCCTAAATATTTTGAACTGGAGGTGTTCCCTTGTAAATTTATGATAGATGGACTCCTTGTGAGAGGAATGTATATAAACTGTACATTTATACCTGCTCATGTATGTCTCCAGAACAACTTCTGGAGGGGCAGGCTTCCCCCCTAAAGGAGTAAACTTGAGAGTCATTCGAAGCCGGCAGTATTTTCTCAATATTTCTCCTTTTTTCTCTCTTATGTTATTTGCTAGCAATAAAGGAATCCTCTGGGTTTAAGCCAAAGAAAAATCTGAAAGACAAGACCAGACTTTGAATCCCCTCCCCCCCTCACCAGTGCCCTTTTTTGGTTAGCTTTTTGATGAATGGCTATAATTTATTTCTATCACATTTAAATAAGTGCTGCTGCCTTGTCTGTTTAACTGGGCAGGCAGTGGGAACTGGTTTGTTTAGGAGGCAGTGGCTGAGACGCCCTGTCCAGGTGACAGAGGAGAGCAGAAAGAATCCAGACCGATTTGTATGCAGTATATTTTACTCCCATGAAATAAAACACATTTTTTTCATATTTGCTGAAAAGTAAAACAATAATATTGTACGAAATGTTATACACAGGGTAGGTTGTACATAGCAGTTTCAGAAACATCATTGCATCCACCAGAGAAACTATTCTAAAACTGATATTCACACATTTTTTATAATAATAATATGTTAGAAACATACAGTGTGGCATTTAGTATATACATTCCCTTGCTCGCAAGCGAAAAATCCTAATCGCTTCGGTATAACATGCTTTATTTTAAAGCCTAACCTTTAAAAACACTGTTGTGATATTACTAACAACTGCTTTTATAAAATTAATTTGACATTTCGATATATATACATCCTTTCAGTCATTTTAATGTTAACAATGCTAAACTTAAAAAATAACAAGCTTATAGTTATGTTAAAATGTCATATCCAGTCAGATACTTGTTTGTGTGTGTGTGTGTGTGTGTGTCCTTGCAACTGTTGGAAATACTTGTAGTCAAAGATAGCAGACAGTGAGGACATTCCTTTGAAATCAAAGGAGCGCTCTCTCTCCCCCTCTCTCTCTAATTCAGTGGTTTCCTTTTCTCATTATATCTTCTCTTGCGCTCCCTTTCTTTAGTGCCCACGGCCTTCTAGCGTAATTCCCAGTCTTTCACGGGCTGAGTCGTCAGCGCGCGGCGCGCGGTCCTAGCATCCCGGCGCTGCGGGCTCGGCTCACACGGGCCGATCCACCGCGTACTGGCAGGCGCTCAGGTTGGACGCTGGGTTTTGCACGCTGGCGTAGCCGAAGCTGGAGTGCTGCTTAGCTTTCAGTCTCAGGCTGGCCAGGCTCGAGTTACACGTGTCCCTGTACACGTACGGAGGAGTCGGCGGCGCGTAAGGACAGGCGGGCGTGGGCACCGCGGAATTCAGCGACGGGCTGCTCAGGTTGTTCAAGTTGTTCAGGCTGTTGAGGCTGGAGCCCGGGACTCCCGTCACGGCCGAGGGCACCATGCTGGACGACATACTCATGGACGAGATGGAGTTGGGCGGGGAGAACATGCTCTGAGACGACAGGGGGTTGACATTCATAGAGTTGAAGAAAGGGAAACTCTTGGTGGACAGCGAGGCCGACGTGAGGCCCTTGGCGGCCCAGTTGTTGTAGGAATAGCCCGGGTACATGTCGTCATAGGGCTGCATCAGCCCGTTGAACTGCGGCCCAAAGCCATTCTTGCACAGCTCGGCCTGCTGGTTGCGCTCCCTCTTTCTCCACTTGGCCCGGCGATTCTTGAACCAAACCTGGGGGCGGTGGGGGGCAAGGGAGCAAAACAGATGCCACAGCGCCGATTAGTCAAACCTGGATCGCGCACCCCCGTGACCCTGAGGCGCTGCCCTGCTTCTCTGCGCCGCCCCCCCACCCAAGCTGCCCCGGCCAGCCCTCGCTCGCCAGCCCTGCGCCTCCGCCGGGCGCGACAGGCGGGGCCGGTTCTGGCCTGTGAGCCTGGGCTCTGAGCTGCGCCACAAACCCCAGTCGGACGCCCGGCGGCCTGCGGGCCGCTTGATCACTCACCCAGACCCTGCTTCGTGTCCAAAAACACTTTGCAAAATAAACGAGGAACGGCCGGCTTTCCGCCCAGCTCTTCACCGGCTACCTTACAAACTCGCTTCCACTCCAAAGCCACAGACTCAGCGATGAGAACAAGGGGCTGGGAGGACCACCAGAAGACCTCTCTCTCTCTCTCTCTCTCTCTCTCTCTCTCTCCCCCACACAACAGCTCTTCCCTCCCCTTCTGGACCGCCACTGTCGCCCCCCCCCCCCCCGCAGTGTGCTCCTTGGACAGGGGTCTGGCTTCGACACCCTGGCTCGTCTAGAAAAACAACCAAATAAAAAGCAAAAAGATCACCTCCTCCTTAAACTCCACGAGCTTGGAATGTAGAGCCCCGGGAGCCCCGGACTGATCGGTCCACTGCTACCTTCCTCATCCCCCTCCGCCCACCTCAGGCCAGGCCGTCGCGCCTGGCGATGTTCCGAAAGGGCCCGGGCCCGTGGTTTGGCTCCGTAAGCGGCCGCCCGGGCCAGCCAAGCCCCCACCCGCGTCCGGTGGCCCCGCCACAACCCTGCTCTCAATCCACAACGGCCCGCCGGTCGCCCCAGACGGCGGCTTTTGTGTATTGGAGCGGGGCCTGGCCCGAGATCTCTCGAGCTGACACCGGTGATGTTTCACATTACACATCTCCGCCGGGCCCAGCCGCCTAATCCGCTTTTTTTTTTTCCCCCTTTTTTCCTTTCATTCTCGATTTCCTTTTTATCCCCCTTCCTCTTTGCACCCGACTGCTATAAAAAGCACGCCTCACTCCCACTTGGCTGGATGAGCAGCCGCGCTGGAAGGAGGCAGCTGGAGGGAGCCAGAGCCCAGCGTGCCGACTGCAGGAAAGGGGTGAGGGGTGGGCGGCGGGGGGTGCGGAGTGGGGGGGAGGGGGGAGGGCTGCAGAAATTCTGGTGGGGTGGAAGGGCTTTTCTGAAGGATTTCAGAAAGCCCACGGATTGTATCTTTATTTTAATCACTTGCCATCTCCATCCTAGGCTGTCTAAACTTTGCCCCGGCAGAAGAGTACGTGCAAGGCCCGTGCCTCCGATGCTCGGGAAGCGAATGAAAGACTGACCTTGCGAAAAGCCACACGGCCCTGGCCCCCGCGCTGGCTCTGGGCGGTTAAACTAAAACCATCTCCATCTTCAGTCTGGCTCTTTTATCCACCAGAATAGCCTCATAACTCTGCACAAACGCCGCTCAGAGGCAGTTCTTTCTGCTTTGGAAACACATTTCCTTCTTTATTCATCATCGTTGTTGCCTATTTTTTTCTTTTCTTCTTTTTTTCCTTTTTGCTTCTCTTGCTCTAACTGGGGGCTTCGTTTTTCCACCGAGAGAGCTTTTATTTTTAAACAGCAACACCTCTGGATGCTGCTTTGTTCTGTTTTCCACTTCCAGAATCCAAACAAATTTGGAATTTTCCACCGACGAACATAAACTAGGATGTTACTACGGGGTCATTTATTTAAGCTTTTTTTTTTTTTTTTTGCCAATCCATAAAGTACAGATTTGCTACAAAGTTAAGGTAAGCGCTTTTTATAAAACTTATTATTGTTAGGAGGAGGGGGTGCACATATCAGTCTCCAAAGAGTTCAACTCTTGAGAGAAGATAAATAAACCAAACCGAAAAGTCTTTTTTTCTCCTTTTCCTTTCGACATAACCAGCAGAATAGTTGTGTACTGAAACTTTGCTTCCAGAGATCACAAAACCAGCGAATACGGTATAGGAGAGACCTAAATGTCTGGGGTGGGGGGGACCCAAAAAGCATGGAAGGAGCGCGAAATCAAGAAGCCCTGGACTTCCTGAGTTGCGCCAGGTTGGGCGCTAAAGTTTGCAGGGAGGGGTAACCCTAGGGCGTCTCTGGTGGGTTTTCCTTGTTAAAAACGCACAGGTCGGAGCCTGTTGGAGGCTCCCGGCCTGGGAGGGATTTTATTAGCGATCGTCTGGCGACTGCAAGCCGAGAACACAATGCCCTCTGCGGAGGAATGCCGGTGCGGCCCAGTTTCGGAGCTCGCGGGAGCGCGGGGCGCCGAGCTGGGGCTGCTCCGGCCGCCTGCGCCAGGCTGCCAGCTCGGCCTCAGAAGGGGGAGCCGCCACTTCGTCATCCCGGCCGCCGCGAGGCCTTCTGCCTTGGCAAGGCTGCTCCCGGGCGGCGCTGCCTTCCACAAGCACTCCTTGGTCTACACGGCCTGCACCTCCACAACGCCCTCCCGCCAGCCCTCCCAGGCTCCGTGGTGCCTCCTACCCGGACTCGGGCTTCTGTAAGGTTGGTCCACACGGCGATTTCCTCGCGCGTGGACATGTCCGGGTAGCGGTTCCTCTGGAAAGTGGCCTCCAGCTCCTGCAGCTGCTGGCTGGTAAAGTGAGTTCTCTGCCGCCGTTGCCGCTTCTTCTTGGACGGGTCCTCGGCGCCCACGTCCTCATTCTTCCCCTGCTGGCTCTTGTCTTTCTCTGAAAATGAAACACACCAAGGTTCCCATCAGCACGCCCACCTGAAACCCACCAACCCCAGCCGGCCCCAGCGCCGGCGCCTCCGGCAGAGCGGGCAGAGCGGCCCGAGCGCGCGCGCGCCAGCCCAGGCCGCGGAGCGCGGCGCCTGCGGGGCGCGCAGAAGGAAGAGTGGGTGTGTGCGCCCCGTCTCTCCCCTCCCCCAGCGCCGCACGTTTTATTTACATGTTTATCGCTCTGCGGCGGCACGTTCATTTTTACGGCCTGCGCTTTCAAGTGTATTTATATACCTCTGAGCACACACCAAATCTCCCGGGACACGCACACGCGCTACAGACCCCCCTCGTTGAAAGCTCAGATTTCGCTGTGGTTTGGGAAGGCTGGGAAAAGTAGATGTTTGGGATTCCCCCAAACTCGCCAGTTCCTTAGATTAAAAAAAGAAGAAGAAGAGGGAAAAGAAAAATGCCTCTGTGCGGACGGCATTTCCAAGTAGTTTTCCAAATACTTTTCTAACGAGCGGAGCTCCCCAGATCAGCAAGCTGAGCCGAGAGCAGTGGCAGAAGCGGGGCGGCCTCTGAGCGTGCTCCGATCGCGATGCTGGGCAGTTGTGACCCAGGAAATAGAAGGGAGGCGAGGGTGGGAACTGAGAGGGAGGCAGAACTGCTGGCGCCGCTCGCGCCCACTCGCGCCAGGCCGATCGCGGGCGGACGGAACGCACGCGGGGTCGGCAGAACCCGAGCTCCCGGAAGTTCTGCGGAGGACGAGCGGAACGACCACTCCCGCCACGCCTACCCCAGGAGGGGCCCGACTTCCTCGGGGGCGAGACGGGCCGGGCGGCGCCGGGCGGCTGAGCCGGAGTGTCCGCGGGGCGGCGCGGCGCCTTACCTGCGGCCTCGGGGCTGGAGGTGTCGGAGATGGTGTGCACCTCCAGCCTGTGCTTGGAGGCGTCCAGGGAGCGGGGCTGACCAGGAGCCAGGACCGAAGCCATGGCTGTCGGAGGGGGATGGTGACAGGAGGAAGATGAGGAGGCGGCCGACAGCTTGGTCCCCGCTGCTCGGTGCTCCAAGTGCAGCGGGCCTTTCATGCAGTTCATGGACGAGGCAGCGCGCAGCCCTGCCGAGTCCTGGGCTGCCGCCCCGCCGAGCCCCCGTGGCCGCCGCTGCCCGCTCTGGGTCGCGCTTTAGGCGCGGAGTTTCCCGGCGGTGGCGGCCGCGGGCAGAGCCAGGGGACGCAACCCCCGCCGAGTCCTTGAGCCAAGCCGCCCCCGTCTCCTCCGGAAGGCTCCGGCGAAAAAGTCCGGCGGCCGAAAGTCAGCGGGCGAACGGAGACATGGGGATGTGGCCGGGAGGGCAGCGCTCTCAGCGTCCTTAGGGAGCCGGCTTCCAAGCTCCGAAGCGAAAGGCGAGTGGGTCGAGACCCCCTTCTCCCCACCCTCCCTCCCCCACGTACCCCTCCAATAAGGAAAGCTAACGCCGGTCGCGCTCTGCCCGCCCCCCGCGCGCAGCCCTGACGGCGAAGTGTCAAGAGTGACAGGGACAGGTAGCTGATATTAGATTCCCCGCGCCGGCGGCGGCGGCGGCGGCGTCGCGGGCCTCGGAGCGCACCCTCCGCAGGGCGCACACGCACACCCCCTCGGCGTCGAGCTGGAGCCCTGCCCCGCCGCAGCTCAGCTCCAGGCACCCGGGCGAGCGACGGACCACATCTGCGGCTCCACGCTTCCCTGTGGGCCTAACATCTTAAAACCAGAGGCGGGCTTCCTGGTGCCGAGACGTCACTCGGTCGCGGCCCTCCCCAGCCCTCTCCGCCTCCACCTCCTCCCAGACCCTTCGCCGGGCCCGACTGACGTGGCTTCGCACCAATCAGCAGGCCCAGAGCCGCGCCGGAGGGACTGTCCCATCTGCGCCTATCAGCAGAGAGGGGCCGGACTAATCGCTCGTGGTGCCCACCGGGTCTACACGGGCAAGCTCTCGGGAATTCTACTCCCGCCCGACCAAAGGTGATCCGACTTTTAGTTCGGACAGGGAGATGCAGAGATGAGGCTAGGATTAACGGGCTAGGAAGAAGGGAGCGGAAAGATCGAGGGCTGAAAGGTACAGGAGTCAACAAGCCACCGCCTCCACCACCACCACCACCACCACCACCACCCCCTTTGTGTCTCCCTTCATCCATTTCCAATTGAGAGCTCCCTCCCTCTCCCCCATATAGAAAGGAGAGCTGCTACTTAAAACTAGAAAATTAAAAAAAAAATCAAATCACCTCTCCGATTTAAATTTTCCAAACAGTCTGTCAAGTGAATGCTGCGCTGGTCTGAAAAAGTTTTAGTTTAATTGCGAAGAAGACAGAGCCCTAAAAAGGCAGGCTAATAAATTAGAAATCGAGAAGCAAATGGACCCGTCAAAAGAAAATTACCTTGACTTTAAACGAACAACTGTTTGGTGGTTCAGTCTGGATTTATACAAGAATAAAAGTCGCTTCAGATCACGTCTTCTGTAATGCTTATTAGTCCCCAGACAGAAAACACACAATAGAATGGAAACCCTAACCCAGCGTTTTCAAAATGCTGAAAGCTTATCCATTCTACTTAACGTTGATTAAGACACATATCCTAGATCTTTCAAATTCCTTGTACACTGTATTAAGCTCGTCCTAACCCGGGAGAGCCACGCTTTAAATTTGACTCTCTTGTTTACTTTATTATCAATCAGATTCAAATCCATAAAGCCTGCAGAATCAACAACCTTGAGCTAATTATATATAAAATATGCTTTAATGAATTTCCATACAATTAAGAATGTTGCCAAATAACCAATTTCAAGGATAATTTTTAACAGTCATTTTCTTTTCCTGGGGAGCTCAAGGCTGTCTTGAATCGTTAAAAGTCCAAGCAGGCAGAAGCCGTAGGGTGTGGGCTACAGGGAAAAGCTTAGTGGAGCACTCAGCTAGGAAAAGCAAAGCCTTATTCATTTACATGAAACAACAACAACAACAAATCACCTTGGGGGACGTTGGCTCACTACAGCCCGATTCTCACGGAAATTTAATTTCCAAAGAAATGAAAGAAAGCCAAAGGTATTTGAAATAATTTTTGAAAGACCTTTTGTCCTCCAGCTGAGGTCCGCGGGGAGAGCACTGGCTAATCTCTGGGTTTCGGCATTGGTGATCGCTGTATTGTGGAGTTAGTGTTATCATCCCTGACTGTGTTATTTGTTTGACATTACAGTCAATGATTTGCAACAGCAGTACGAGGTATCTGCAGAAAACTCCATCCTTGTCCTTGTTCTCAAGATTGGGAAACTTACTTAGTTTGCAAGGGTGAAGCAGATTCCAAATATGTTTACAACCTACATGTCCCCTTACCCTGCCCCTCCGCCCTGCTCCCCCAAAATCCTATCCACAATTCCTTTCCCAGTTTAGGTACACTTGAGAGCAGTCTGAGGAACCAAATGAGAATGGTTTTTCACTTGCTGCCCACCAACATCTAGTCACTTTAAGAAGAAATTAACTAATGGGAGAACTTTCTTCCTCATAAAGTTTAAATTGGTGTTTCTGGGTTTAACCTTTTATTCCACTTTACTCCATTCCCCACCCCCCACCCCCATACACACCTGCTCAGAGCAGAGCACGTCCCTATGTGACAGGTCTGCATTAGCCAAGGCTGATACATCCAGCTATATTAGGTCCTGAAATCTTATCACTAAATTATACATATTACACCAGCAGCCTATTGGTAAAGAAGGTTAAATTAATTTACATTCTGCTCATTATCTGGCGCTTAAATGACGCATTTTATCCCTGAGATTTGGCAGAGAATCTCTCTTCCAGACCCCACAGCATTTCACGGAAGACAATGCACTTAGATTTGTAGTGGTTTTTAATCTGATAAGACTCTAATTTGCTTAAGTCTTTTAAATAAGGGTTTTAAATGTTTCTAGCCGTTTTTCTTATTGAATTTCCTCTAATTCCCCCAAGATCATAAAGTATATGTGTAAAGTAAATATTTCCTCCCATTGCACTGCCAGCCGATGGATGACCTATAACTAAGTCAATACGAATTCAGCTCTTTTCTGCCCAAAGTGTTTACTAATCATATTCTAGTTTCTTCTTTTAAACCTCAGCCATAGCTGTAAGTGCCCACAATACTGTGCCCCTTAAAGCTTCATTTCAGGAGACGCCATCACATCAAGGATAAAAATTCCCATCTGTAGTGACCAGACCACTTTCCTGGTTTCTTCAAGACTGAAACCTGGAACTGCAAGGCTATTATGGAAGCTTGGGGTGTTTTTTTGAGTCTTTACTCTGGAAAGCTGAGAAACGCGGCAGAGCCATGTAGATTTCTAAGCCCATCTCTCATTTTGATTTAAATTCTGGCGGTTCTGCCTGACTGATGGAGCTTTCCCCATGGCAAATACACATGTATGATACACACCCAGCCTCCAAAGTGGGTGAAAAACCCAAGAGTAAGTGACAGCTCCTCATGATGCCAAAGTATGGGTAATGTTGGAAGTGCTGCTAATCTGCCGGCAGCCTAGAAGCCCAAACTAATAAGGAATCTTAAATTGTATGGATCCATTGAAATCTAGAGAAAAACAGAGACAAAACAGCTAGAGAATGCTGGTTAAAGTAAAAACTATATACAGCCGAATATATGGATTCCCAATCTCTTTACCTATCCCCCCAGCTCTCTAAACAGCTGACTCAAAATGAGGATTTTCTTTGCATTTTTTCCAGCCAGAGTTTCCACCTTTTCCTAATCTCATCATCACTTTACCTTCTTGCCCAGCTCCAAGTGAGGACCCTGGAGGTTGGCAGGAGAACACCCATGTGAAGCCTAGGTTAGGGAGACCAAGACACGCTTGTAAATGAAAATTCTGTTACGGTGCCAGGCAATTTGGGAGATTTAATCTACACAAGATCTGAGCACAAGTAGGGGTGGCAGAGGTGAGGAAAGAGGTTGGAAGTCAAGAAAGTGTATGCATTTTTTGAATACAGCGCTTCTATGACCTCCGGCTGGATTCTTCTGGGTTGGTTCTAAAAAGCACGGAGACTGCACCTGGGAAACTTTCACTCCAGCCGGGACTAGATGAGTGTGGTCTGTGCTCCTCGGTCTACGTGGCCAAGGAAAGGAAGCCCAGTGTTGAGGTTTTGAGTCTAGGAGACATGGTGTGTAGTCTCAATTGGCTTTAATAGGTTGTTCTTTCAAAGAAAGACCCTCCAGGAAGGAAATGTGCATGACGTGGGGTCAGGTTTTAGCTCATATTTGCCACCTATGACCAGCCTTAAAGTCTTATTTAATTTCACACTCTTTAGTGTTAGTTGCAAAGTGCCTCTGGCCATCGCGGGGAGCGCTGGGTTAGGTTGCAATGTTAAACTGGCTCTGGGCTGGGACCCAACCAAGCGATCCCCACTTTTGGAAAGAATCTGTCCTCTGAGTTCATCCAGAAGATGGCTCAATTAGAGGTCTCCCTGAGCTGTCAGGCCATGGAGGGGCAGGTGTCCTCCCAGGCCCAGGCCAGCTCAAGGACGAAGACCGCCCCGGACTCAGCTCCCAGTCACGTGTTGGACGTGAGCGTGAGTGAGTGAGTTTGTGTGTGTGTGTGTGTGTGTGTAAAGCTCAGAGGTCAGGTGGAGACCTTGCACCCTGCCCAGCAGTAGCCCTTCCTCCCCTCTTTCCACTGCCTGGCTTTTCTTTGCACGGCAAACCAAGCTGGAAAATGGTCCCCATAGCCACAAAACCGTCCCAGACGTCCAAAACGTTGCTGTGGCTGATTTTTTCCCATTCCCCAAATGGAATTTTTAAAAGTGCTGGTTTGTTAAAGGGGTGGATCTTTTCAAAATCGGAAGTCTGTAGATACACTGATCTTTGCAAATGGTGCCCATGTTTCTGTCCCATAAGCTCTGCTCACTCAAACTCTGGAGGTTTGGCATCACTGGTTGGGGGAGGGATCATCCAAGGGCACTGGGAAGTATAGGAAGAGAAAGCGAGAAGGACTAGAATCGCTAAAGCAGCAAGTCCTTAATGCCTGCTCTCATTTGCGCGGGGCGGGGGGGCCCTGCAGATTTACTAGGCGCTCATCGAAGTGTTCATTTAATCTCTGAAAAGCAACTATTCATGTAACTAAGTAAGAGAGAACGGTGTAGTGCAAACATGGAAAGAGGGACACACACACCATTCACACACGCACAGATAAACATAGATATCCAAGCTCAAAGGGAAGAAAGTGGCAATGGGATAACTGAAGTCACTAAAAAAAAAAAAAAAGAAAACCAACAGTTGGATAAAATTACTGCTCTCTTTCTCCTTTTCTTCTCTCCAGCTCATGTACATCTCCCTTTTCTACTTCTCTTGCTCTTCTTTCTTTCTGTTTTCTCTCTCCCAGACATGCTGGTAGCTAACATTCAGCATTAGTTGTCATGGTGACCATAAATCACATAAATCCAAAAATACCCACCTATAATCTGAGATGAAGCTTTTATTTCCCTAGCGAAATAATATTTTAAAAGCTGTCAGCTGACAAAAAGAAAAAAAAAAGGGAACCCACCTCATTGTAGTAACCCAGGTAATATATTACTTCTAAAGGTTTAAATTAAAATGTCAGCCTGTTAAAAACATGCTTGGAGAATCTTGGGCACTCTTCGTGTCAAATCCTCACAAAGAAGTTGACTCCATCGCTTGTGGTCACTCTTTCACCCACGCTCTCAGTCTTTCCGTTAATGTCCCCCTCCCAACCAGCCCAAGTCCTCATGGACTCTGTGCATTGGATGGTGAAAGAAAGGAGACTCCTCTTGGATCAGGGATCTGTGGCTGAG